GGCAGTAATTAATTCCTCCCATTGGGATTCTCTAGTCAGTCTGAGAGGACTAATATAGACAAAAACACCCCATTGAAGGGGTTGGGACTGCAACTGGAACTCAACAGCAATGAAAAAGTTTTTACAGATAATCTGATTAACAACAACTTGGGAATCCCACAACAAAACAAGACCCCCACTAAGACCAGAGGGGTCTACAATAGCCATCCTATTAACAAAACCTAACTTATTACATACAGACTTAACAAAGGCATTTGGTTTTTTTGTTTCTGAAAGAAAGATAAAATTGGGGTGATGAGCTTTCTTGAGCTCTCTGATTTGGGAAATTGTAGAGGGCCCACCCAGCCCTCTACAATTCCACACCAGAGCTAACATTTATCAGGGTGGGGCCATTCGAGGCTGGCCACCCCTACCTTTTCCATTTCAGTTTTTTGTTTTTTGAGTTGAGCCTGAGTTTGAACATCATGATCCTCAGGCAGTGTAGATGAGTCCACAACTTGCCTGATTCTTTTGCCCTTGGACTGCTGGTCAATAATAATAGGAGAATCATTGGTACTGAGAAGTCTGTTCAATCTTGTACCTGTTCTTTTCCATGATTTCAGAGGATGATGTTGAGATGCTGGGAGAGACTCATGATGAAATGTAAACTCTGAGATTGAGGATAACTCTCCTTTTTCAAGATCCATGGGGTTAGCATCCACAATTTGCAAATTAGCTTCTTCTAGGTTCCCCATCTCTGCAGCATTACCAGTAGTTGAGACTACAGAAGGTGTACCCATTGACCGAGCTGGTGACTCAATTATTCCAGTGCTGGGGATTATTTGATTATTGGCTTGCCCTCGACTGGAAGAAGCTTTTTGGGATATATTGTTATCTGAGTGTGATGGAGATTCTGGAGGTGGGGTTGATCTAGAGCCTGAAAAACTGGAAGGATTTCCTTTAACACCATCAGGAGCTCTTAACCAATCACCATATTGCTCTTCTCGGAGAGAATTATTTCGGATATCATCCATTTTTAATTGGCATGCTCTATCTAAGTGACCAATTTTTCTGCAATAGTGACAGAGGTTGATGAGTTTCTCGTACTTGAAGCCGACTGTCACTAACTGATTTCCAAGCCTCACCTTAGCCATACGAGGAATAGATTCTTCCACATTGAGAGTGACTAAGAGTTTTAGAATCTTACCTCCATGACTCCCTGTAGTCGCAATAACCACATTCTTGACCTTGTGGAAGGCCTGGCCTATCTTGAGCCCCACTTCCGTACTGATCCAATTAAGAAGAATGTTTTGAACCTGGACCCAAATATTCAGCTCCCGGAAACTAGGGTGTTTGCTGTTGATATTCATATCCCATTCTTTCAAGACGAGGTACTGGTTCTCGAAACTCCAATTGGTACCACTAGCCACCTTCTTCATATCATCCCGGTTTTGAAAAATAAATTGAAAATAATTTGGGCAGAGTTCTTTCACTTCCATAGCTTGATTAAGCTTCCAGATTAGGGACATTGCTCGCTTTATACCAATCCAGCTTGCTGGCCTATCTCCAACTATTTTACCGAAAAGGCTTCGATTGCACTCGTCATCACTGAGCTTAATGTCGTTCTGAGCTATATCAAAGATTTTTTCTTCATTGACAGAAAGGGCAACTTTGTTAAGCCGCTCCGAGAGCTCTTGATCAAAATCCGCCATAACAACCCTAGATATGAAACTTGCGGCCGACAGAAATAAGGAAGGGGAACAGAAATGAAATCCAAATTAAGGTGAGATTGTTGGAGAATGCATAGAATCAGAGGAGATGAAATCAGGGGAGATGAAATCGGGGAAAAATAATCGCTCTCAAAGAGAGAATTAGGGCTCTCAAAGAGAGAATGTGTTCCCACTTTCAAATCTTAACAAGTAACGTGAAGGATAATAGGATAAATATCAAATAAAAGATGCTCATATACAAATAATGACAGTTAAATCAAGGAAACATATAGTCTTATAGAAAAGATAATTTTCTATCATATATTTCATGTGACAAATTATACTTTTGTACATGTGCTTCTGGCACTAATACAATCTCAATGAACTACTTACATCACTACTATTCATATATTGTGTCCATGAGTATTCATTTGGTTGGATTTCATTATTCTCAATCTCATGTATTACTTCACAAATTGATCATAACACATTATAAAAAAATTTCGATTGCATCTTAATTCAAAATTAGTCATTAATACTTACTCATAGTGTAATACTTTGATACTTGTATTGGTGTTGATCCTTCAGGGAGTATACCAAAATTTCACTATGAATTTATGAGAGATACTTAAGTCAGTGGTGATCCTTCAGGCAGTATATAAAAACATAATTGTTGACTTATAGAAGATCCTTCAGGGAGTGTCTAAAAACTTCATCGTCAACTTACAAACTATCGATAAATGAAATATTGGTTGACATGTTATAGACAACTGATGCATTATTTTAATCATTTTATCCATCAATGTTTAATATTAGTGTCCTTCTGGGACTACTAGTATTCAATTGAACCTTATATGTAACACCCCGAGTTTTATTAATAAAGGAAAATACTAGCTTTTAATTTTAAGGCTAGCCTTTGTTAATAAATAATCATGTTCATGTACAAGTTCAGGTTAACCAGCTAGTAATATTCCAAGTTCGACTATTAGTCGATACGTTATTCGGTTTGATTATTCCAATAATCGAATGAGTTTTCAGATTTAATTATGATTCATTAAATTAATTAATGAGTTCGGAATAAATAAGTTAAAGTGACGAATTATTCGAAATAGCGGTATTCGGATTAATCGTTCACATCAAAAATATTCGAATTGATTTTCGAATGTCATGTTTATGTTCGGAATAATTTTCCGATAATTAATTCAGTTAAAGTTCCTTAGGTCAAGTTCGGTTTTCCTATACAACGAAGCGTTCACATTGGTACACCGTCCATCAGTAATTAAGTAATGGTCATTAACCCTTGCTTAATTAACTTAACCATGTTTAACTAATTAATCATTATTAGCTTAAAAATAATCATGATTAGCTTAATGTTAATGATAATTAATTAACATTAATGAGGGTTAGTTCAAGGTTAATCATGTTTAAGAGTAATCTATTGGTATATGTGTCCTAGAGACAATCATTTTAAGGACATATATACATGATCACATAAATAATTATATTGGATTATAATTATGGTATTGTAATTAATTAAATAATTGTTTGATTGTTTGCAATTTATTAATTAATTGCTCCCTTGAGTTGATACTATCATTAGCAGAGTGAGATGTTAATTGATAAATTATAACTCTAAAATCGCCTCAATCGATGATCATTAAGAAAAGGATATTAATGATACGCGATAGATTGACATGTGGTCTGCACATATTCTTAGAGAATATAGTATGTCTCACTGCTATGAATAATTGTTATTCGTGATGGACACATAGATACTTTGGAGAGTATTGGCATACTGTAATATCCCGTCAGTTTATCAGTATAAATTATGTTTTTAGTTCCGATATATTAATATTGTCGAGTATTAATTTTCGGAATTAATTAATTCAGCCATTTCAGTCGAGATTACCAGAAATTATTTTCGACGTACCGTTTACGTTCGGAATAATTTTGGTAATTAAGCATTATGTTTAATTAAATAATTGAACATGAATAAGTGATTAATTAGCAAATTAGTCACGAGTTAATGATCATAAGCCGTAGGTTTTGTTCCAATATGTTCAACTAATGCCGTGAGCTTTGCTTGTTAGTGGGGGAAAATTAATTTCCAAATCCTTAAGCATGAAGTGTCCATCTCATAATTGTCCAAGTTATGACTAGTTTGCTTAGTAATGACTAAGCCAATCTTTCTTAATATTAAGCCAAGTGTACCATTTCCCACCTCTTAATTTTCTCTCATTCGGCCATCATAGTATATATATGTAATGTTGGGAAGAATTTCCGCTTTCCTTATTCTGAACACATACATATACATTGAGTATAGAGAGTGAGGAGAGTTAGTGAGATCTGGTCACAGTAAGCAACGCAAGTAAGAGAGCCGCAAGTTACTACCGCACACGCCCGTACGTACGACACGGCAACGTGCACGCGGAGGGTCACGCCCAAACACGGGAAGCCGCGGAGTGCTGTCACTCGAGCATAGTCGAAGGTAATTTCCGGGTTAATATGGGCTGAGAATAGCGTGTTTCTATAATCCAATCTGTTAGAGGTATGCTGTAAAAGCTGTGTTTTGCAGTTTCTATCAATTCCATTT